CCCAGCACACCCAGGTCCCTCTCCGCAGAGCTGCTCTCCAGCAGGTCCACCCCAAGCCTGTACTGATGCATGGGGTTGTTCCTCCCCAGATGCAGAACCCTGCATTTGCCTTTGTTGAACCTCATCAGGTTCCTCTCTACCCAACTTTCCAGCCTGGCCAGGTCACGCTGAATGGCAGCACTTCTACTTTGATGATGAAGCTGTCCAGGGTGTGACAATGGGTTTGCTTTATCCTCTTTCACGATTTCCCATGCAGGCACCCAATCAGGCACTCCTGGTGCCCCCAGGAGACAAAGAGGCGTAAACACACTTTCTTTAGTATTTTCCAAGGGTCTGAAATTTTGGAGCGGGCTGTGCCTGTACGGTGGTGCAGCTGTCCGGGGCCACTGTGACACACGAGGACAAGCCCTGCAGGCTTTGGGAAAACCTCCCACTGTGCTGTTATCTGAGTCAGTAGCCTAGAGCTGGGGTGGCCAGGCACCCCGTGGTCACACCTAGGCCATCTGCTGCCTGAAGTGTCTACCAGAATGACTCACCCTAATCAAAATATTGACAAACCATCTCGAGTTCCTATAAATAGCTACCCAAAGCAAGTTTGCTGACAATGCAAAACTGGGAGGAGTGGCTGATGCACGGCAAAGCTCCACTGCCATCCAGATCATTGATAAATATATTGACAGAACCTGCCCTAGGACTGAGCCCTGGGGAGCACCACCGGTGACTGGTCACCAGCCCGAAGTAGCCCCATTCACCACAATGCTTTGAGCCCTGCCGTCCAGCCAGTTCGTCACCCAGTGCCCTGTGAACCCGCTAATCCCACAGTTGGACAACTTGTCCAGAAGGGTGCTGTGAAGGATAGTATCAACAGCCATCCTAAAATCCAAGAAAACTAAATCCACTACCTTCCCTTCACCCATTAGGTGACCTTGTCATAGCAACAAGACTTTCCCCTTGTGAAAGCATGTTGACTACACCTGATGATTGCATTATTCTTTAAATGCCTTTCCATAGCACCCAGTACGATCTACAAGGGGGACCCAGGTGTCAGGGAGACCTGGACATCCAAGATGCCAAGTCTTTCAGGGGACTCCATCATCTGAAAGACTCAGGTACCAGGAGTGGGGACACTGGCATCTACAAGGGACCAGAGTCTGAGGGGACCCAGATCTCCAGGGGAACCCAGGCACCCAAGGGGCTCAGCCCTGCTACTGTCAAGGGCCTTAACGGCCCTGATGAGCCTCACAAGGGCCCTCCATACCCCTTCTTCCCATGAGGCCATTTCAGCCCAGACCCAGGTTTTCAGCCCTGCAGGTTCAACATAGCCATAGCTGTGCATGGCCATGGGCCTCCCTGAGCAGGACCTCAACCTGGGAGTGGACTTCTTAACTGGACTTTGGACCTGCCTCATCCCATCTGGCTCCTCCAGGGACCACTGGGCTGTGTCTGACTCTTCACCATCATTGAACCTCATCCCAACCTGTGTTCTTGCCTTGACCTTGGAACTGCCTCATCACCACGGTCTTGCCTGATGATCTGGGCCTTGAGTTGTTCTTGCTTTGATTTTGGAACTGCCTTATCACCATGGTCTTACCTGATGATGTGACCTTTGGGCTGCTCTTGCCTTGCTGGTCACGTGACTAAGCTCAGCCACAAGTCCCGTAAGGAGCAGGTGGCTGTTGCTATGCCCCCAATGACTATAGTGCTGACAAGAAACATTAGAGATTTTCCCTTAACAACTTGGCATCAAAGAGGTTGCACAAGCCCACTTTCTCCATGGAGTCTCACCTCAGTTAAGACATCCTAACTTTCCACCCCCACCGATCACAGCTTGGCCAAATGCCAGAAGTTGGACCAAGACATCAGGCAAGTTCTGTAGCTTGAAAGAAATAATCTTTGGGTGGTGAGAAAAGAAGCTTTTTTCACCTTCAAATTCAAATCTCCTGGTCGGTTTTGGCTGATTCTTTGACTCAAATGAGTGGAGGAGGGAAGAAATGCTGGCAAAGAGCAGAGAAACACCAGGAGCAGAAGACCCCTTGTGTTGACCAAAGGCAGATGCTTTCAATTTGGTTGAAAAATTTAAAAACCTTAATTAACCTAATTAGATCATGAACAGAGTTTGTTTCTACTGCTCGTTGAATTCTGTGGAAAACCAAGCTTGTTGGACTTCAGCGGTACAGCCTGCGGTGTGAGATATTGCAAGACACATGCGAGCACCTGTGGTGTTGCAGCACAAAAATTTCAAGTTCCTTTAGCCAAAAATATTTTTCAGTATGGTGATTTTTATCTGAAATGATTCTTTTTTTCTTTCTGGGTTTCCAGTTTCCCTAGAGTACAGGGAAGACTCAGTAGACTAATGCTACAACTAGAGTCGTATTGGCTATTTAACTCTTTTATTACACAATTTTAACATGTAGAGGAACCATTGAAGTGGGTTTTCAGCACAGGGGCCTAGAGATTACCACTGCCTCTGACAGACGCTTCATCCCAAGAAATTCAGTTGGAAATGTTCTTTTTCAATCTGTTTAGGTTGCACGCTCCACTTCTTAGACGCAGAAAGTCTTTGACATGAACCATTATCTCAGTAAGCTTACAACAACATTTCCTTACATCAAATACAAACTCCAGAAAAGCTCGGGACCGATTCTTTCTTTAGTTAGCATTGAAACATCAAGTTTAATTTTATACAACTTCAGATCAAAATTTTGAGAAACTCGAGTTGAAGGTTATATACAAAACTTCCAAGGATTTTTGCAAGTGCTTTCAGTATTTTACAGATCAACAACTGAAACTTCTTTTAATTTCAGATCAATTCATGTGATTGCCCTTAAATACTTCTCTGTCACCCTGACTCATGAATCAGGACTGAAGTTAAACTTGGGCAGATTTATTGCCCCGTATTCCCACAGTCTATGTTAATATTTCTAGAAAATACAGTGAGCAGGACATCAGCCGGAACTTCGACATAGGGAAATCACCTAATTTCCCATTCATGTTTTAATTTTGAAAGACCAAGTCATATTAAAGTGCCATAGCGTATAAAACCCAACAAACTCCACTTTATGTGTACAGGGTGTAGTTAGCTGCGATCAAGACCAAACCACATCTCCTTTCCACACATAATAAATACAAATTGTACATATTTAAAGTGCAAAATATTTTAGGAAGTCAAAGAGGCAGAAGTAGAAGGGAAAAACAATTTGCGAAGATCAGAACATTCAGCTCTCCGGCCAGTGTTATCTGCAGACATCTTAGCTCCATTGTAATGTGTAGCCTTTGCCTAATTCAAGTTCAAGGTGGGTGATTCCCAGGACCTTTGAAAAACAAGCAAAAAAAAGCAATGAGGAACTCTGCTTTGAAGATGTCTTGGTTTTCGGCAGCTCATAGGAGACAGCAGGTTCTTATTCTGATTGCTGCTCTTTATCTTCTTAATTCTTCTTTTTGATTATATATATTACATGACATTACATTACAGAATCACAGAATCACAGAATGGTCGGGGTTGGAAGAGACCTCTGTGGGTCACCCAGCCCAACCCCCTGCCCAAGCAGGGTCACCTACAGCAGACTGCAGAGGACCTTGTCCAGGTGGGTCTGGAATATCTCCAGAGAAGGAGACTCCACACCCTCCCTGGGCAGCCTGGGCCAGGGCTCCGTCACCCTCAGCCAGCCTGCAGATATTTATAAGCATTTATGAGGTCCCCTCTCAGCCTTCTCTAGGCTGAACAAGCCCAGCTCCCTCAGCCTCTCCTCGTAGGAGAGATGTTCCAATCCCCTCACCATCCTCGTAGCCCTTCACTGGACTCTCTGCAGTAGCTCCTCATCTTTCTTGAAGTGGGGAGCCCAGAACTGGACACAGGACTCCGGATGGGGCCTCACCAGGGCAGAGCAGAGGGGGAGGAGAACCTCCCTTGACCTACTGGCCACATTCCTCTTAATGCACCCCAGGATCCCATTGGCCTTCTTGGCAGCCAGGGCACGCTGCTGGCTCAAACATTACATTACATTACATTACATTACATTATTCTATTCTATTCTATTCTATTCTAAGTTATGTTGTTACATTACGTTACATTACATTAAGCTACATTGCATTCTATTACATTATATTCTGCTATACTATGTTACTACAGGTTTTGCATAATATATCTTTATATTATATACTACTTTCATACAAAAATGTAAACATATTTTAGTATATTAGTACATTATCTTTTGGCTTTCCACAAAAAGGCAGAAAGAAATGAGACCCAACAGAACGCCAAGTTCTCTAGAAAGGGTGGTAAATTACATTAAACATCAACTGATTTTAGCTTGCAGGTCTCACGGAACGGTGCAACCGTGACTTGTGATGAGACTTCATTAATTCTGTAGGAAAAAAAGTTTGGTGCAAAAGTACCCGGAGTTCTTACTTCTTAGACATCAGTGGGTTTATTGCAAAAAAGAAATATATTTTAGAAATTATATTACAGCTGAGAGGTGAATCCCCAAGCATTCAAGAGCACGTAACTAATTGCAAGGATAGGATTTCCCATTAAACCATCGACTTGCCTGTTTTTGGCTGTCATAGGACACAACATGAGGAGATGGGATCGCTTCTCCATTCTCGAATACTGTCACCTGCTGAATGGTTGAGGTCAACCCCAAAACTTTAATTTGAGTAAACTTCAGATTATTTGGATCGGCATAACCATCGTGCAAAACCTGTATTTCTAAGCCGTTCTGAAGGAAGAGGAAAAAAGAAAATCAGTGATTTTTCCTTGGGTGGTTCCATGTCAGAATACCCTGTTTTCAGCCCACTTGAGGCTTAGAATTTTTTCCTTTTCTTCAATTAAAAAAGAAAAACAGCACATATATCTACGGTGGTATTCATTTTCCGAATGTTGGAGACATTGATTTTCCCAGTTTCTCCACCTTTGCAGATCACTCGCAGACTTCTCCACTACCAATGAGGTGCTGAATATTAAATAAATTTGTCTTGATGGGAAAATTTGTCCTGAATTTTTCAGCATAAGAAAGGATTCAAATAATGCATTTTCATAGTTCTGCCAACATCCACTACAGACCTTTTCTTTTTGGTCATCTTCCTGTAATTCCCTGAAGTTTCCCAAACTACTGAAATGGTGAAAATATTTCTGTGTGTCCACTGGTTATTGCTCAAATCCTGCAGGTGTTTTGCTAAATTTGCTTTTTTTTGTTTTAAATTGCCTTTTACGGTTGCAAAAATGTTGAGGATGGGTTGTGAAATTCTTCATTCCAGACCAGAACAAAATAAGAGTGTGAGCTGGGGAGGGGGGAGCATTTCTTGGACCAGGTGATTTGTTTTTGGGTAGGTAACACATTCATGATTTCTTTAGTTTTTACCCAATTCTACCAGGTCTCCAGGCAGAGAATATTGTTTATGTTTCCCAGAGATGGTGTTTTGCTTCGCTTCCATGCAAGTCCGCTATGATATACCTATATAAGTAGAATGTAATCATATAGCTATATTATTTTATTGTATTTTTCATTATGGGTGGATTTAAGACTCATTTAATTAAGCTTTTCCTTACCAGCTTTCTATAAGAGCAGGAAAATGTGCATTTACTACGTAATCTTACAACAGCAAATAGCAAAAATACCCATTTCTCCCTTAGCAGTTAATATCCAATTACTTGACCAAAATAAATGAGAAATAAGAGCACTGAGAATAAAATAACAACATATTTTGGCCACCTTTAAAACTGAGGAAACAACATGCCTTTTTTTACTGTATAAAAAGCATTTCTTTTCGATCAATAGTCCCTATAATTACCACCTAATTTAATTCCAGTTTTTCAACCACTCAAAACAAAAATTTAAAGCTGACATACTGGAAATGCCAATAATTCTAATAAGCACTAGTTATCGTTGACTTTCAAACAAAGTAAATGTTCCACGGTGTATCTTCTGTGTTGAAGAACAATGACAAAAGTCAAGAATAACGATAATCACAGAATCACAGAATCACAGAATGGTCGGGGTTGGAAGGGACCTCTGTGGGTCATCTAGTCCAACCCTCCTGCCGAAGCAGGGTCACCTACAGCAGGCTGCA